GGCACGCTCCTGACCAGCAGCGCTCAGCCTGGTTGTCACGGCTAGCAGGACGCCGGCCGCTGAAAGGTCCTCCCCTGTCTGCCCGCCCCATCAGAGCTGACAGCCCACAGCTGTACCTCTGGGTCCCACTCTGCCTTTACCCCAGACCCTTTAGGGACTATGCCTACACCCCGCTCCCACGCTCAGTCAGCCCCAGCTTCTGGGACCCCCCGCCCCTGCCCTCCAACTCTTGACCTTGAAGGAAGCACAATTCAGAAAGATATTAAAAAAAATTTTTTTTTGTTTATTTATTTTTAGAGAAAGAGGAAAGGTGGGGAGAGAGGGAAAGAGACATCAACTGTTTGCCTCTCGTGTACCCACAACTGGAGACCTGACCCACTCCCCAAGGCATGTGCCCTGACTGGGAATCAAACCCGCAATCTTTTGATTTGTAGGCTGGCGCTCAGTCCAGAGCCACACCAGCCAGCCAGGTAACTGTCTTTTGAAGAGAGAGAGATAGGGGGGAAAACCCCCCAAAAACCTACAAACCAAACTTGGGATTTTGAACAGAAAGGGCAAAGAAAGCTTTGGGAAGTCATAACCTAACATTAACCCCAAGTTCTGGTGCTACATTTTTTTATTAGTACACAAGATAGATAGCAGATTTGGCCAGGATGAAGCATACCGCTGCTTTCTATGGGCACGTACATCTTTTTAAAATCAGCAAAACCTCAGCCTTATCAAAAGTCAAGGAATAACAATAAATATTATCTGAGTATCTGCTTCTGCCAGGCATTTTGTGCGTCCCCTCTCTCCACTGCAATACTCCAGCGTACAAAATCCTGGCCACAGAAGGTGCCTAAAACTTTCTTACGCGTTAGCCGACATTTTGATACTGAAGGGAAGGAAAAGCGGTTGAACTACAGCCGCCCGGAGGCATGGACTCCCAGGTGGGTGAAGCTGAGTCACACACAGGCCTGGCGGCGGTGCTCTAGGCAGCTTCCTTGCGCTCACAACAGCTCTGCGAAGGACTGTGGCGCATCATTCTATGGAGACTGCAAGGTCATGTTCAAGGCCACCCAAGTGCCAGGGTGGGCTGAAACTCCTGCTCCTACTGACCGTAGCCCTTGGCCTCTTTACCCATGTGAATGGGATCGATCATCTGGTAAGTTAGGTATTTGAACACCAAGACTCAACACTACATGCCCCATGTGGTTTAACCAGTCACCGTTTAAATGTGAAACTTTGAACCTAACATTGTAGAGGGGAAATCCAACGGCCTTCTCAGACCCATCTTTATATTGCTCCTGAAGACCCATCACGAGGTTAGACTTGCAGTGGAGGAACACAGACACGGCAGCACAGGGCCTGAGGGTGCACGGGGCTCAGCTGGCCCTCTGACGCCATCTCTGCCGAAGACCACCCATGCCGGCTGGGGTGGGGGGGCACTTTGTGAGAAATGGCCCTCTCTGCCCATTGGAGAGCATTTGGCCCCACTCCCTGGTGTGGGCTGAAGCTAGAGAAACTCAGACAACTGAAAATTGCGGAAAGAACAACGCACCCTATGCCTGGGAAGGAATGAAAATGCAGGGACCCTGGGAAAACTTCCTGTCGGTAAGGTGATGGTTACGGTTTCATGGCTGTTCCTTTAGGAAGGATGAAGATCCTGGAACATGGATCTTCACAGGAAGAAAAACTCTTTACTGGAGTGTAATTTTTACTTAACTGTGTTTTTTGCTTGTTTACAACTTCAGAAGGGGATTGGCTCCTTTTAAGACTAAATTGACTGGGACCAGAGATCTTAAAACTAGGTATCAACCCTGCTGAATGACAGCTGCAAAAACAACTCTTTCAAAGGTAATTCAACACTGATAAAGCAGGAATCATCGATTATTTAGAAGTAAATTAGGTTTAAAAAGTATTGATTAAAATGTCTAAAAAACCATAAAGATCAAGAAAATTTTACTCTGATTTACTATTCACTTTTTCCAAATAAATTTCAGAAACTAGTCTCGGAAACCTCAGATCAGTTCTGTCTTAGGCACGTGTGGTGCACCTGGCCACACAAAGCCAGGTGATGACAAACAACTCCCCGTCCATATGGGGCAGCCAGGGGCTCGACTCTGCAAACAAGAAATCCAGAACTCTAGGGAAAGGGAATCATTAAAGACTGCATGAGTCGTCTTTATAGCAGAATTAGGTGGTCCTGTCTAGCTGCCTCTTTCACGACCTGGAACACAATTTAAGGGGCTATATTAAAGTTTAAAACCTGGGAAGGGAATTTTTTTCTTTTACTTCTCACCTGAGGACATACCTATTGGTTTCAGAGAGGGGGGAAGGGAGGGAGAGAAACATCGATATGAGCAAGAAGCACTGGTTGCCTACCAAACCTGCAACCCAGGCACGTGCTGCAGCCGGGAATCGAACCCATGACCCTTTGGCTCATGGGATGACTCTCCAACCGAGCCACATTGGCCAGGGCTGGGGAGATTCTTAAGCTGATTTCTGACATTCCTAATTACTCCAATTGTAACGATGTATTCTGATTCTAATTTTTATATACAATTCCTTCGTTTTGTGTCAGGTTGCTTCCATCTGAGATTTCTAGGGAAAAGTCTTGGAACCTCCTGAACACTGAGTTTTTGAGTTTTGAAGATAAATCTTTTCAAGGTAATCTGATGTATTGGTGGGAAGGGGATCTGACCCCCTACGGTTACACTTTAAATGGCATCAAGCTGCAGAACTGACAGCAAACGTACAAACAGGCAGTATTATCCTCTTTTGACCACACATGTAAGATTACTTCTACTTTTACTCTTTAACTAAATGTTGTTTTAACTTCAGGTTACTTTCTGATTTCTCTCTCTCTCTCTTTCTCCCCTAGTCAAAATATCAAGTCTAGAGATCACCTTCAGAGCTTCTCTTATGGAATCAGGAGATGAAATCTTTTTTCATCTTTTTACACTGGTTTTTTGGTAAAGTCAACATTTTGCAAGAGAATATGTTTCATAGGGATTTCACTTTTATAGCCATAAGTATGGGAAGTGCCTTCACTCATTGGCAGTAAAAAATTTTTTTACAGAAATATTTCTTTGGCTCTCATCAATCAGTCCAGTAATAATGACAGGTCCCCAAATTCCAGCAGCTTCAAGATACACGTTTGACAAATGTCTACCTACGAGCCTGGCTAAGCCTCTTTATTATAGATTCTTTTGATACTTTGTGGCTAAGATTCAGTAAGTCTGGTAAATAGGTCGGTGTCTGCTCAGTTACTGATAAACTAACTATAAAGAAGTGATAAGAAAGGCTGGCTTCAGAGAAGCTGGTTTCATTTACTGGTTCGTTCCTAAGAAATGAAGAATGTTTAAAGAATAACTAGCCAAGTACAGGGTCCGGCACAAATAATGCACCTTTTTTATTACAAAGTCATAAGCATGTAATTCTGCAACATCATAATATCACACTCAAGCACACCATACGACATTTTAGGTGAAATGTTCAAATTAAAACTATACATTATTACACCCATATTATTACCCTACCAACCACACTCAAGCAGCCCTTACTTTTGCCAGACCCTGTAGCTTCACTGAGAAGAAAAGAAACTGAAGGCCAAAGTGATTTTACCCAAAACCTTACTGTTGATTAGTTACAAAAATCTCCAGGTGCCCTATGGCAGGCCTAACATGAATTCCAATTCCCTAAAAAAATTGGATATTTTCACAGCAAATAGTAGCTAACATGTCCGAGGGTTTTTATGTGGTGTGCAGGAGAACACAGCACGGGAACCAGCAGCTCTGTAATCTCAGGACTGGTGAGCTGGGGTGACAGCGGAGAAGTCAAGAGCTGGGGCTCCCAATCAGACAGACCAGGGCTGAATTCAGGCTCTTCCACTTCCTTAGTGGCTGCCTCAGTTTTCTCAGCCATAAATCACGAGACCTACTTTAAGGGCTGACCTGAGAATTAAATGAGATAATGTAACATGAATTGTTCATTCCGCACGGTGGCCCTGCACTCAGCACTAAAAAAAACGTTAGCTATTAAACAACCAGGCAGACCAGCTATGACTGGAATCCGCGTTTGACCAACTTTGCCTCGGGCGGCCAAACCTGGATAGTTCTCATCACTGGAAATCCTGAGCTGGAATTAGGGGCTCTCTGGCATGGCGGGGAAGCCCGGGCCCAGCAGCTTAAATATTCCACTTTTTGCCCTGACCTTGGAAGCCTTCCTGCCCTTCACGATGATCACGACTGGGCTGGTCAACAAGGAAACTTACTGGGCCCCTACTAAATGCCAGACACAGCGTGAGACTCTCTTACTATCTTTTATCCGGAGAGGGAATACGGTGTGAGCACTTGTGTGGACACGGACGCCCACGCCGAGGCCGTGCTTGGGGCGCCACTTCGCTCCTGGCTTCAGAGCTTTGTTCTAATTTGCAGCCTCCGAATAAGCGCTGTGAGTCCGGGAGGCTCTTCCTTTCACTTCCGGGAAGCCGCCCGGGGAAAGAAAGGCACAAGACACGTGCCTCTGAGCCTGGACTCACTTCAGGGGCTGGAGAGACCCCTGACGAGGTCGCCTGATGGCTTTGACCTTGATACCGGATTCTCAGTTTCCCATCCTGCGGGCCGGGGGCGATGACACAGCCCCTCAGCCAAGGGGCAGGTGTGTGAGCCTAGCGTGGCACCAGGTCCTGGGGACCTGGGAACCCCACTGCCGTCTCCACCACGGGAACCCTGTGCCCTCCCGTGTGTGCGGGGACTCGGCCTTGCCTGGACGCGGGGCCTGTGACGCACTGGCCACCGAGAGCAGGGGCAGAGGCTGGCCGGGACACCTCCGGCAAGAGGGTCTGGGCGGTCGGAGCCGCTTGCTCGGCCGGCCGTCGCGCACGTCTGGCAGGGTCACGCGGCCCCCCCGCCGGCCCCGGTCTCCTATGGCGGGAACGGGGCAGTCGCCGCCAGCCAGGCCCTCCCGAACGACCGGGCCCGGTCTCAGCCCCGACGGCATCGCGCCGCAGGCCTCACCTCCCTGCGCACGTTCAGCAACGAGTAATAGTCTTCATTGTCCAGCTCCTCTTCGCTCAAGGCCGTCGCCATCTTCGCAACCTTTCACCCCACTAAACCGACAAGGCTGTACTCAAGAGGGACTGGCGATCGGCGGCGCGCATGGCGTGGGCCGGCCCGGAGGCGCCACAGCGGCCCCTGGCGGCCCGGAGTCCCGCCGCCGCCGCGCGCGCCCCGTAGCTACGCGCCTGCGCCCTGCGCCCCCGCGCGGCCGAGGGCGGGACGCGGCGCCGGGGACCTCCACCGCGTGCTGCCTGCGCACCTCCAGCCCAGCGGGCCGCGCCAGGGCCGTGTCAGGGCGAGAAGGGAGACTTTGCAGCCACGGTCGGTGGTCGTCACCCCCAGGGCATCGCAGAGACAGGCCTCTGCAACACCTCCCTGTCTCCCCTGCGGGCCCCCGGTGTGGGGTGTACCCTGTTCCCAGCTAGCCCCACCTGGGCCGCACCCACGAGCCCACCGCGGCTGGAGGCTCCTCCAGGCTCCACTTGCACAGGACACCTCCAGAATGGGGTTTGTTCTGCTGCCATTGTTCTTCGCCATGTGTTTTGACCACGCAGAACGTTGTGAGAGTGTGGGCCTCCTTGTTTCCTTTTTTATTATTGTCCTATATTTTAGGAACATCAGGCCGTTTTTCTGCTGCTTAAGTGAAGAGGCAGTGCCCATTTGGTTCCTAATATAATTGTCTCTGGCAGGCGCGTGTACCTACAACCCCCATCCCAGAGCTGTTCTCTTGTCAATTTCTACCTTATAATTTAGCGGTGGAGCCTAATTGATTTCAACCTGGTGCCTGCTGTTTGGTGCATTATTAAAGATGTCTCGGTTACAATCACCTAAATAATTTAAATGTCTTCGAAATGATGCAGTTATCAAGAGAGGGTAGACCACGGGGCTCCCGTGCTATCGCCACCTGTTTGGTTCCTGCTGACCTGGACCAATTCTCCATTCTTTCTCGGGAACGTTTGCTGTTCCTTAACTAGTCACCGGTTTAGAACCATCCCGGTTGCCCTTCCTAAACAGGCCTCCTGGGAAGCCCCCAACACCTGCCTGTGGATTTGAGAAGTTCATTTCTTTGTCTTCTAATTTTTGGCCAGATGTGTGCCATCTGGGCCTCTGTGTCCTCCCTTCCCGGTTGCCCGTCTCTTTGGCTCTTCTGGCTGGAGATGCTCAGGTGTGCTGAAATGGAGTATTCAGGAGTGTTGAGTCAGTGTGGAGCAGACTGCCAGCTCAGGCTGTAAATTAAGAACTATTTCTTTAGCTGCGTGAGGCTTCCCCATAATGGTTTTCACAGATATTCACGTTCCATCAGCTATTCTAGCATTTTTTTTTTTTTTTACAGTCTTTCCTTTTTATTTCCTTTGAAGAGCAGTGATTAGGGCGCAACTGCATGGTGACATTTGCTGGTCTTTAAGAATTTCTTACAGAGAGGCTGGGGGAAAAAACGACGATGTGGAGACATTCCTTTTTCTCTTAGGTTTGTAGACAGTAATTGGGCCATAACGCTCAGTTGGGTAGAGAAGTTCTTTGCCATCCTTTCTCTGCTTTGGAAAACACTGCCTCTAGGAATTCCATAAACGGAACAGAACATATGTTTCAGCACGCCCAGGTCCGGGTTCTCTGATGGAGAAGGACCTGGTTTTTATCACCACTCCGAAAGAGTAAACAGTGACTCAGGGATGCTCTGCATCTGTCCTCTCTCGGGCCCACGGTATTCTGTCCTGTGGTTACTTAGAGACTGGTTGTGACAAATGGAAAATAAACTTAGATTCACTACAGGCCTGAGAAGAGAGTTGCTTTGGAGGTTGGCTCATTTGGTTTCTTTCCTCCAATATCTTAATCTAGGATGGGAAAAATAATGAAAATCAGGAGCGGTACAAGTGAGTCAGTTGACCCATGCATCTGACAGGCTACTCACACCAGAGCAACTGACAAAACTCACCGCATTCACACGCAGCCTTGCCCTTCCATTTTCTTCTTATTGGGCGGAGCCAGAAAGCATTTTGATACTCAGCTATAAGACAAAGCCTAACATACTTACGTAAAACATTTCTATAACTCCATAGACACATGTACATATCTTTTATATATGTATATACAACTTATTAACCCTCTTGTCTTTAATAGTAGATATGAGGACATGTACATCTACCATCATTTATACTCAGAATGGCCCCAGAACACGTGGCCTCTCGGGCAGCCCCTCCGGAAGTTTCCTCTGTCTAATGGCTGGACCCAGGGCCGGGGCCCTTCCTCTGACAGGTAGAATTCGGGTTGCCAGATGTCCTGTTCAATGTGAATTTCAAATAATGAATAATCATTAGTATAAGAGTACTAATATTGCATGGGGCATATACATATACTAAAATTCATTGTTTATCCGAAATTCAAATTTAACTGGGTGTCCTGTGTTTTTACCTGCTGCACCTGCTAACTCTGCCTGGCGACCCCTCAGTCCTCCCTCTTTTCAGCAGGAACACTCCCGAGGGCCCAGGCGGGCCGTCTGACCCAAGGTCCTTCTGCAGCCGGGCTCAACCCACGCCCTGTCTCTGTAATTCAGGAGGAGAAATCACCTGCATTCTCTCTAGTATTCTCCTTGCCGCTGAGCCCAGACTGGGGGTTCATCCGCAGCCTGATCTCCCTTACCCTCGGTAGCTCTGAAAATGCTGTTAAGAGGAGTTAGGAAAAAACCTCACAGCTGAAGAAAGAATTTGCAGACACTCAGGAATTAGATTTTCTTGGTGTTCTCTCCTCCCTTAGCATTTCAGTAACTTGTCACTGTCGTCTAGCCAAGATGATAATTGCAGAAGGACTGAGTCACCTAGAGGGGCCACACCTGCTCCCGGTGAGCTGGCTGCCGGAGGGGCTGAAGAGCCAACCCCAGAGGCAGCCTTGGGGGAGGAGGAGACAGGGCAGTAATGCAGGGATAGGCTAGTGGCCTCCGGGCTCCCCAGTTTTACAACCTGCCACCCCCGTAAAGCGTTCATCCCGCAAATCTCCTATTCAGAGCTTCCGCCTTTGGGAGTCAGTATTTGACCTGTAATGCCATCCACCTGTGGTGCCCGAGGTGCTGGTTCCCCCTGCTGTTTGCGACTTTAGGTCCTTGGTCTGTACATGTTAATCCATCCTAATCCGTCAGCTCCCTGCTGGGGGCCCGTTCCAGTCTGCTTTCTCCGCCACTTGGCGATAGCGTAATCCTTTGACCTCTGGCTCCATCCATTCCCTTCCTGGTTTGGTTGGCCTCCCTTATCTTCCTTTCTGCAACCCTGGGGGGGGGGGGGCGGGGGAAGGCTTGGGAAATTCAAAGTCGATACTATCTGATTTCAACTGGCGCCCAGTGTTACCTGGCAGTCCTATCATAGTCACCCCTTACAAACACCCTGTGAAATCCACCTCCTGCCCCGGGGCCATCAGCCTCTCTTTAGGTTTGAGCACGGTCATTGGCATTTCAGCTGTTCACAGAAGGGAGATGGCTTCCTGTCTCATGGAACTCACATTCCATTGGGGAAGGAGGGGACCCACAATAAACCCATTTGTCAGTAAACACCACACTTTCAGATGCTACATGCTGTAAGTAAAGCAAAGCCCAGGGACGTGAGAGGGGGACGCCTCAGGTCGGGGGAGGGCGCCTTAAATTGGCTGCTTGTGAAGATCTAGCTGAGGAGGTAATTTTGAACTGAATGATGGGAAGGATGCAGCTTTGCAAGACCTGGAGGAGGAAGCTCCTTGTGCAAGGGCTGGGAGACAGGAGCAAGCTTGGTGCGCTCCAGGAATGGGGAGAAGGGCGGTGAGCGGGAGGGCGGCACCGGAGGGGAGAGCGCAGGGAGAGAGGTTGGAAACCTCGGCCAGGTGGTCCCCTGCTGGGCCTGAAGGGCAGCGAGCGGTCCGGCCTGGGGGACACTGAGGGATTCTCAGCAGGAAGGGACACGGTTTGACTATCTTTTCCCCCAAAGGATCACTCTAGGGAGGCTGGGTGGCGGGAGCAGAAACGAAAGCTTCCCCTCACCCCCACACCACCAGAGGTTCCTGCCATGAGGCAGGGAAGAGAGGACGGTGCCTGGGATGTGGGCGAAACAATGCGGGTGGTAAGACCTAGAACGCAGGCTAGGACAGAGTCAGCAGGAACCGCCGGTAGGTCGGGTCTGAGGCACGGGGACAGCAGGACCGGTGGTTACTCTGGCCCGGGGGGCTCGAAGCGCGAGGAGGTAAGGCCCCTGGCGGAGCTGAGCATGCTGGCGCGGGGGCAGGCAGGCTCCGGAGGCGGGCAGCCCTGAATTCTGCTTTGGAGAAGCGGAGTGATGTCCTCCATCAACCTCCAGGTGGACACGGCGCCTGCGGCCTCTGCGGCCTTTTTACCACTCAGTCTCTCATTTCTTGCCGACCGGGGCTCGTCCTCATCGTTTCCTTAAAATTCCCTTCCCAAGGTTTCCAGTGACTTCTTACACCTCGACTCCAGTGGCATTTGTTTAGCTGCTGTCTGCCTGGACTCTCGGAACTATTTCAACGCCACCTGCCTTTTTCGCTGTCACCTCTCTGTCCTTGGCCATTTCCCTTTCTCTCCCCTCATGGTCCTATTTCTCCGTACGGGTTCCCCTTTCTTCTTCCTTTGGTGACCGGGGTTCACATATCTTTCAGGCTCACACCCTTTGACTTTCCTGCATGGATCTTTTGGTCAAGCCAGAGGGAAAAAGCCTCCTTCTCCAAACATTCCTTGAACTCCTTTGCTTTTCATTCTTTGCTGCCCCTCTGAGCCTCCATGTAGGGCCATTGACCGTCAGCCTAAAAAACACGCTGCGGACTTTCTCGGAGTGTGGGCCTGCTGTTGAAGAACTCTCAGATTTTGTTTATCTGAAAATGTCTCTGTCTTCATTGATATTCAGGAACATTTTCTCAAGGTAGAAAAACTTAGTGAGTTATTTTTGTTTTCCAGCACTTTGGCGACATCATTTCCCTTCCTTCAGACTTCTGTCGTTGTGGCTGGGAAGTGGTTCTTTTTTCTCTTCTGGGGACCCCAGTTGCACACTTTAGACCTTCTCAGTGCCTCTTGTATGCTTCTCTCTCTTTTTTATC